CTCGAGTAGCTTGGGCGAGCAGACTGGCTTCAGCACCGCCCTTGGCCGGCCACTCTCCTGACGCGTCGAGTGACATCGTCGCTCGTCGTGTCAAGTCGGTCATGTCAGTTTCTGAACATCACAGCAGCGCCGCCCGACCTTTTTTCGCAGAGGCGATGGCGGCATCTTGGCCGCATGGGAAAACGAGCCAGACGCGGAGGAGCCGGCGCCGCGGTCACGGAACGCGGCACTTCCTGCCAGCTGCGTCCTGGCTGCAGTCGGCGCGGTGGTGGTGTTTCGCTGTCACTTGACCGCCACACTGGTCGCCACCCATGCGTAACGTAGGCCGGGCGCCACGTCGAGTGCCACCTGGCGCGCTGATGATGCAAGTTGCTTTTGCACTTTTCCGTTTTCGCTCGACGAAGATGGAGTGCGCTGTGATCGGACCACCGGTCGTTGTCGCCGTCCCGACGTTCACAACCGAGTGCGCCAGCGCCGACTGTCGACAGGCGACCGCCGGCAACTTTACGCCGGGCGCGATGGCGTCGTGCGTCTGGCTCCCGGACGGCCGCGTCGTACGCGGTGCAAACCTCACGACGATCGACCCGACAGCACCTGCGATGTACCAAGCGCAGGCCGGTGTAGTCAAGAACGTCCTTGCTGGCGGCGTCCGCGTCGAGTACGTCCGCGACTTGCCCAACAGCGTGCAGGGCATGTACGCTTGTCTATCGACCGGTACCTTCTTCGTGCTTATGCCGCCTCTTGTATACTAGCGTGCTCGCCGACCTCGGGCTCACTGGCGTCAGTAACTCGTTAAGGACAGACCGCAACGGCACGCCACTCGCCGTGACGTCGCTCAGCTTCAGCGGCAATGCGCTCCGGAGGTTTGACGCGACCGTGCCCGAAGCGCTGCTCTCCCTGTAGGACTCCGCAGCCTCTCCACTGTGGTTTCGACGCGTGCAAACGTAGGGACTTGTCGTACAATGCCCTTGAGTACGTCAACATTGCCCAAGGCTACCATCCCAAGCTCCAGGACTTGTACATCGAGAGACTTTGGGCTAAAGCTCATGCTGCGAGGACGCATAGAGACCTCGCGGGCAATGCGCTGACGAACGAGAGACTGCTCAACGCCATGACGTACCCCAACACACTCACTACCTTGTACAACGAGCAAAATTGAAATGATACAGCGGCTCAATCCCGTGGGTAGGGCTCTTGGACTGAACGCCTTGCGCGCCTTCCCGGTGCAAGTGCTGCAAAAGCTGCCGGTGCTCCAGACGCTGTACGTCGTCGCTCACCCAGCGCTCACACTCACCCATGAGCTTTAGACTACTCAACTCGAATCCGCTCGGGAGCTTGCCACCCAGTGTAGCGTGGCCGCCGCTCTTGGTCCAGCTGTATGTCGTCCTATTTGGTATCGTCGTATTTACGACAAGCATGACCTGCAGGTCCCTCCGCAACACGAGCTTGACGGTGCTCGAGGCCAGTTTTCCGTCGACTCTGCGCTTTTTGTACGTTGGAGAGGTCCATTATCCGGGGTTTCGACGTATTTGTGGTGTAGGGATTTGCAAACGAATGCCAATCTCCAGGCCATTTATGCCAACGCCTCGCAGCTCGCGCTCCTTCGCAACACAACCGTCCGGCTCCCGCTGCTTCTCGAGCTACCGCACTATCGCTGTAACGAGAGCCGCGTGCTCCGCACCGAGTACATCGAGCACACGACCAATGGTCGGACGCAGTCATTTCCCATCTGCGTCGTCGCCGACACGATCGTGCCAGCGATCAAGCCGGTCATCAACGTTGGCACGTGGATCGGGGCGATCGCGGCCGTCGCTCTTGTCGCTCTCGGCATCATCGTGTACCTCGTGTGGCGGAGTCGCGCCCAAGCCAAGCGCCAGGCCGAGCTCCTCCAGCAAAATGCGTCGCTGCTCGCCTCGTCCGCGGCCAACAAGCCGCAGTGGTACGAAGAGTCGGGCGACGCTGCTGCTTACTACCATGTCGTCGAGAGCGCGCGCTTGACGTACGACGTGCGCTTTGACGACTACCTCGCGCCGTACCGGATCACGGTCAAGGACCTGGACCGTCACGTCGTGATTGCGCGCGGCGGCTTTGGCGTTGTGTACTATGGCACCCTGCGCGGCACGACGCCCGTCGCGATGAAGCGCATGCTGCCTCACTTTATCGACAGCGCCGATGCGATCGAAGAGTTTATGAACGAGATCCGGCTCTACGCGCACCTGAGCCACCCCAAGATTGTCCAGTTCATCGGGATCACGTGGACGACACTGTACAACATCTCGATGGTCACCGAGTTCATGCCGTTTGGCGACGTGTGGAGTCTTCTGGAAGCCAATGGGAAGAATCGGTCGTGGCACGAACGCTTGCAGCGCGACCCAATTTTGGCCGCCAAAGCGTCGCTAGGGACACCGTCGACGGCACCTAACAGCAACTCGGCGACGACTGAGCTCCCGACCGTCGACGACCGTCGTGGCCATACGGGCCCGCCGTCGGTGCCTGCGATCGCGGCTGGCGTCTCCCGCCTGAGTATTCTCACCGACGTCGTCGACGCGATGGTGTATCTGCACAGCTTTCCGACGCCCGTGATCCACCGCGACATCAAAGCCCGCAACGTGCTCCTCGGGCCGCACTACGAAGCCAAGTTGACCGACTTTGGCACGAGCCGCCTCCGCGTCGACGAGCTCACGATGACGGCCGAGATCGGCACGTCGGCGTGGATCGCCCCCGAGGTTCTCAAGGGTGTCCGGTACACGGAGAAGGCCGACATGTACTCCTTTGGGGTGATGATGACCGAGCTCGACACGGTCCAAGTGCCGTACGCCAAGGTGTACATGGAACCCGGCTGTACGCTGGCGCTTGCCCGCGCGCGGATCGCGATGTTGGTAGCGAGCGGCGACTTGGTGCCGGAGTTCACAGCCGAGTGCCCCCCGGGTATCGTCGCGATCGGGATGCAATGCCTTGCGCACAATCCGGACGACCGGCCGTCAGCGACCGACGTGGCCAAGCTGCTACAGCAATACCACTTGCGTCAACTCCTCGGCACCAACTAGTGTGCCGGTGCTATTTAATTTACTTGCTCTGATGGGACATCATCATCTTGCCCCTACCACGACACGGGCCCGCCCCGTTCGTGCGACTGAAATGACTTGAAATGTGTACTTACCAGTATACTCCTTCGATTTAAGAGCAGCCAATACTAGTCGTACGAAGGTTTTTTACGAATGAATTCGTCATCGTCGAGCGTCATGTCCAAAGTGATGGTCCCGAAAGGGGTAGGGCAACATATAGTAGTATCTCGACCACTCAAGCAGTGCGATAGGACGGCATTCGTCGTGTCTAATGTGTCGTGCGCACTTGCTTATCACCAAGTTACTACTGTACTCATCAATGTCCAAGGAATAATATCTCGTCGTTTGCAGCGTCAGAGTGTCTGTCCCACCTTGGCCAGCAGGTGTTCCAAGCTGAGTAGAATCACTTGGTGTGATTATACCATACAAACCGCGATACAAACTACATTTGGGCTAGCGATCTTGGATAAGGCAACGTCGGACCAATTTGGCATGGCCTTCACTCCACCACAATTGATTTCTCCATCTCAATGGTAAGCGAACATCAAGCAGCCACGACAGCTTCGGGTCTGGCGGTTCATCTGGCGGCCGTGGCCGTGTCGGCGCCAGTGCCGCTTCGGTCGCGGGTCAAGGCGATCATGGGCGACAGTCCCTCGGCGCGTCGACCGATCTTGCATCCAATGAGCGGCACCTTTGCATCGGGCTCGATGACGCTACTCTTGGGCCAGCCAGGCGCGGGCAAGTCGTCGCTCTTGAAGCTTCTGAGCGGCCGCCTCACGCACGTGCACATCGACGGTCCCATCACGTACAACGGTGTCGCGATGCCCGATGCGGCGGCCAGTGCAGCGTACGTCGGTCAGCGCGACGACCACTACGAGTCGCTCACGGTCACCGAGACGCTCGCGTTTGCAGCAGCTTGCGGCGCCGCGCCGATCGACACGATGGCCGTCGTCGATGCGCTCGGCCTCGGCACCTGCGCCGACACAAAAATCTGCGAGCTCTCGGGCGGCGAGCGCAAGCGCGTCACCTTTGGTGAAATGGCGTTCGGTGACGCCCCCATTGTGTGCTTGGACGAGATCAGCACCGGTCTCGACAGCGCGACGACGCACCGGCTCGTGACGCTACTCAAGGAGGTTGCGGTTGCATCCAAGAAAACTGTCGTCGTGTCGCTTTTGCAGCCGACGCCGCCCGTTGTCGATCTCTTCGACTCGATCTTGTTGCTCCATGGTGGCCATGTACTCTACCACGGCCCGGTTGTCGACTGTGAAGCGTACTTTGACTCGATCGGTCTCGTGTGCCCGCCCGAGCGCGACCTCGCTGATTTTCTCCTCGACTTGGGCGCGCCGCAAATGACCGCCTACTGCAACCGACCAAATGTGCCCCAGGACGGTGCGTCGCTCGCGTCGGCGTTCCGAGCTTCGCTACTGTACGCGCCGTCGCAACCCGCAGCGACCTCTATCGTGCCGTCGCAAACACTGACGGTGACGTCGCCGTATCGAGCGCTCTTGACGCGGCAGCTGCGTATCTTCCTCCGCAACACGAGCTTTGTGCACAGTCGGCTTGTGACTGTGGTTGTCATTGGCGTCATGTACGCCACGACGTTCTACGACGTCGACCCGGCGACGCCAGCGACGCTGATGGGCGTCGTCTTTTCAACGTCGATTTTTCTCGCACTTGGGCAAATTGCGACGCTGCCGTCGATCTTGCTCGCTCGGTCGACGTACTACAAGCACAAGCGCAGTCGATTCTTCACACCGTTGACGTTCGTGGTTGCGCAGGCACTGGCGCCCGTGCCATTTGCGGTTCTGGAGACGCTCATCTGCGGCAGCCTCGTCTACTGGCTCGCGGGGTTTGCAGCGTCGGCGTCGGCGTTTGTGCTCTTTATCCTGCTGCTGTTGCTCACCAACGTTACGTTTGGTGCGTGGTTTGGCTTGATTGGCGCGATCGCACCGAGCTTGTACATTGCGGACCCGATGGCGCTCATCACGATCCTCGTTACGGTCGTCTTTGCGGGCTTCATCGTCCCGCTGCAGTCGCTGCCGGCCTTTTTGAGCTGGATCTACTGGCTCAACCCGTTGGCGTGGTGCACGCGCGCGATCACAGTCGGCGAGTACACAGCAGCCAAGTACGCGCAGTGCGAGCACAACGGCATCAACTATTGCGAAGCGACCGGCGCGACGTCGTTTGGGCACGCGCAACTGGAGACGCTCGGCCTCCCACATGACGCTGCGTGGGTCGGGTACGGCGTTCTCTTTCTTTTCGGGAGCTACCTTGCCTACGTCGGCGCGACGATCCTTGCGCTGACGTACATCGAATACAGCGACGGCCAAAACCACACTGTCGTCAGTGGTGTGTCGACGACGGACGACTACACCGAGGCGCCGGCGACGCCGGTCCACACAACCCTCAACGTCCACGCACCTCTGCACGCGGCGCCGGTGCAAACACCCATGACACTGGCGTTCCAAGACATTTCGTACTCGATTCGGGGCGGTGTGCAGCTCTTGCACAACGTCAGCGGCTACGCACTGCCGGGGACGATCACGGCGCTCATGGGTCCGTCCGGCGCCGGCAAGACGACGCTGCTCGACGTGCTTGCCGGTCGCAAAACCTCGGGCTCAATCACGGGCTGTATCACCGTCAACGGGGTGCCAACACACAGTGTTGCGCGGTACGCCGGCTACTGCGAGCAAGACGACGTGCACTGCGACGCTGCCACGTTCCGGGAAGCACTGCACTTTAGCGCGCTCTTGCGGCAACCGAGCGAGGTGCCGGCAACCGAAAAGATGGCGTTTGCGGATGCGTGCTTGGCGCTTCTCGACATGGAGAGCCTCGCCGATCGGTTGATCCGCGGGGCGTCGGTCGAGCAAATGAAGCGGCTCACGATCGGCGTCGAGCTCGCAGCAGCACCGACGATATTGTTTTTGGACGAACCGACGTCGGGTCTGGACGCGCGGTCGGCCAAGATCGTCATGGACGGTGTCCGCCACGTCGCGTCGACCGGTCGCACGGTCGTTTGCACGATCCACCAGCCGTCGGCTGAGGTCTTTTCCATGTTTGACGCGCTTCTGTTGCTGCAACATGGCAACACCGCCTTTTTCGGGGCCCTCGGCCCCCAGAGTGCGCATTTGCTGTCGTACTTTAGTACGTGGCACAAGACGCCATCAGTTGACGTCAACCCAGCCACGTGGATGCTCGATGTCCTCGCCGACGACCGCATCGAGTACGCTGACCAGTTTCTCAAGTCCAAGGAACACGATGCCCTTGTGGCGGACCTTGCATCAACTGCCGTCTCGGGTCTGCCAGCACCGTCCACCGGCGCGCCGCTGTTGACGCAGTGCTACCTCTTGACGCTGCGGTTCTTTCGCGTCTATTGGCGCACGCCCGAGAGTCTCCGGACGCGGTTGTACATTGCAATCGGCCTCGCCCTCCTCTTTGCCCTCGTCTTCGCCGACGTGCGCTACGAGACGTACACGGGGGCGACGGCCGCCGTCGGCATGGTGTACATCACGACGACGTACATGGGCTACATCAACTTCAACAGCGCGATCCCGCTCGCGTCGGACGCACGGCGCAGCTACTACCGCGAGCGCGCCGCCCACACGTATGCGCCCTTGGCGTACTTTGTCGGGTCGACGCTTGTTGAAGTGCCGTACGCGATGGCGACGGCGGTGCTCTTTACAGTCATCTTTGCGCCGCTCGTGGGCATTGCAGCATCGGCCATGGGTCTCTACATGGTGTACGTGTGCCTCATGCTGCTGCTGTACGTGTACATGGGCCAGCTCATGGTGTATGTACTCCCGACGCCGGAGACCGCGATCCTCCTCGGCATCCTCCTCAACTCGATCTTCTTTCTCTTCTACGGCTTTGTGCCGCCCGCGTCGCAGATTCCAACCTGGTTCCGATGGCTCTTTACGATCACGCCGCCGCATTACGTCATGGCCCTCTTGGCGGCCGAAGCGTTCGGGCAGTGCACGAGCAGCAACGCCGTGGGCTGTGGTATCATCCACGACGCGCCGTTGGCGCTGCGCCACGCGATCGGGTCCGACGAAATGACTGTCCGCGACTTTGTCGCGTACGTGTACGACATGCGCACCGACGACCGGACGCGCAACCTCGCCGTGACGCTCTTGTGCATTCTGTGTGCTCGCCTTCTCGCGCTATGGGCGCTCCAGTGTGTCCAGTACCGAAAGCGATAGTTGCACTTTGAAAACATGTACTTGACACAATAGACAATATTGTGTACATCTACCTCATACACCCTCGTACCGAACACCATCGAAGAACGCTGGTAACATCAGACATCGAAGCCATTTGCCGTCGGCGCACCAAGAAGAAGCTTCCAGGTCACGGTCGAAACTTGACGGTGGCACGATTCGTTTGGGCGCACGCTTCGCCGATCGTTCGTCGTCGTCGCACCAAGAACCCAGCGCCGGTTGCATTGCACTACAGTATTACCAAGTGATGCTTCTTTCTTCTCCTTCGTCGCCGTGTACAGTGTACTTGCGCACGAGATTCTCGACAAGTAGGCGCTGGAAATGCTGGCGACTGCTGCATTCCAGCAGCAACGAGTGGTCAACACAAAGTTATCGCAAAGGAATACGATGACCGGTCCAGTTGATCCTATATTCAGAGCCATGCACAAAGGCCCACCGAAGCCGCGCCAAGAGAGGGACTGTCAACGAATCAGGCGCCCGTGTCACCGGTCCCGTGACGCGTGCGAAACGGCACTTTACCCTTTGTGGCCAATGGCCATTGGCCCAAACAGCTGGGACACGCCAGGTGGCGGTCACGCCGCCACAGAAAGGCGCCGACCAGATTTGCACCAGTCCCGCAACGCCGCCGATGCCATCGGGTCGCCGCTTCGTTCTCAACGCTGCGCTGCTGCTCGCCACAGCAGCGAGGGCCTACGACGCCCGGCTGGACCCTCGCTTCCTCGGCTTTACGAATCGCGTCGTCAACGTCTCGACCTTCACCACCGAGTGCCCGAATGTATCGTTTACGCCCGAGCTCGGTGTCTACGTCGTGCCCGAGCAGCCCTCGTGCATCATCTATCCCAACGGCACGGTGTGGCGCGGCGCCAACAAGACCGACCTCTTCCAAGTAGCGTCGGGGCCTATCTTCCCGACCGGCAACTTGAAGAATGCGATTTATGGCGGCATGGACATTGCCTACCTTGATGTGCTGCCCAACAATGTGCCCGTCGTGTACGTACCATCGTCCTTCGTCGTCAGATGCTCACGCTATCGTAGCGCATTCCAAAATGTTGGCCTCGAAAACGTCAACTACAATCTGGCGCTGGACAAGAACAATTTGCCGCTCGGCGTCATTTCGCTGTACGACAGCCCCGTCGCTCGCTCACGACTCTAAACGTGAAGTGTGTAGGTATTTGACCAACAACAGCCTCACCAACGCTTCGATGAACGTGGGCCGCACCCTCCAAGAACTCTACTTCACTGGCAACGATATCTCGACTGTGCAGCTCCGGGGTGACGGTCTGCGTAAAGTGTATGGCTTTGCTGGCGCTCGATCTTTTGCTGATCCCATTTTTGTTTCTAGGGCCTTGGACTACAACGCATTGACGCTTCAAAGCTTCAACAAGACGTCCATACCACTGAGTGTTACTGACCTGTACGTGCGGCTCAACCGAGTTGCTTTTGATGTGTGAGTTTGTAGCTCGCTGCGCCACAACCCGCTTGGAGCGATGCCCAAAGAGATCTTGTTGCCATCGCTGACGTCGCTGTACGCTGTCTTTGGGTTTTAGCTGTTTCTGAAAAGTCGTGTAGTGGTTTGACCGACACGTCGCTGACGTCGATCGAGGGCATCGAGTGGCCGACCATGCTCTCAACCTTGTACGTGCTTGGTCATATCACCATGGTTTATAATGTGACTAGGTTGCTTGACAACAATAGCATTACCGAAGTCCGCGCCAATTTTCCACCAACCTTGTCGTTTTTGTACGGTCTTTTTTTCTGACGAATACGGTAATTTGTGCCTCATGCTTGCTGTGAAGGTGGTTGGGCGGCAACAACATCTCGGCATTCTACGCCAACGCGTCACAGTTTGCACTCCTCAACGCGACCCTCAACGAGTCCCAACTCCCGCCGAGCTATGAATACCTTGCGTATCGCTACGGCAACAAGACCAAGGTGTACCCTGTCTTCACCTCCATCTCGGCCAGTGGCTGCCGCGGGCACTTTCGTGTCGAGCTCCTCCTCAACAAGTACCCGATCTGCGTGACGCAGGGTGACGACGGCCACGGCCGCATGCACTTGAGCGTCGCGGTCGTCGCTCTTTTGATCGCGCTGGCGGTCGTGCTCACGGCCACCGGTGTCTGTTGCTGCGTTCGGAAGCGCGACAAGCGCCAGCGCGCGGCCGCCTCCAAGTGGTACGACGACGACACCAATTTCTTTGCGATCGCCGACTCGACACGGCTCTACTACGACGTGCGGTTTGACGAAGCGCTGAAAGAATACCGCATCCCGGTCGACGACCTCGAGCGCGATATCGTCTTGGCCAAAGGCGGCTTTGGTGTCGTCTACAAGGCAACGCTCCACAACACTACGCCGGTCGCGATGAAGCGCATGCTGCCCACCGTGCTTGACAGTCCGCAAGCGATCGATGAATTTATGCACGAGATTCAGCTCTACGCGCAGCTGCAGCACCCCAAAGTCGTCCAGTTCATCGGGATGGCGTGGTCGACGCTCGCCAACATCTCGATGGTCACCGAGTTCATGCCGCACGGTGATGCGTGGACCTTGGTCGAGGCCAACAAGGATGTGGTCACGTCGTGGCTGCTGCCGATGCGGCAGCCGAGCGACGAAAAACCGAGCCGACGCCTGCGCAAGCACACGGCGTCGACCCAGAGCAGCAACGGCAGCGAAGCCGCTTTGGACTCGGCGCCACTGCACACGGAGCCGCGATTCGGCACGTCCCGGCTCTCGATTGTACGGGACGTGGTTGAAGCGCTCGAGTACCTCCACAGCTTTCCAACGCCCGTGATCCACCGCGACATCAAGGCCCGGAATATCCTGTTGGGACCCGAGTACGAAGCCAAGCTGACCGACTTTGGCACGAGCCGCCTCCGCGTCGACGAGCTCACGATGACGGCTGAGATCGGCACGTCGGCGTGGATCGCCCCCGAAGTTTTGATGGGCGTTCGGTACACGGAGAAGGCCGACATTTACTCCTTTGGCGTGCTCATGGCCGAGCTCGATACGGGTGTCGTGCCGTACTCGGAGGTGTATCTCGAGCCGGGCAGCACGTTGACTCTGGCGCGGGCGCGGATCGCGATGCTCGTCGCCAGCGGGGAGCTCTCGCCGACGTTCACTGAGACGTGCCCGCGTCAAGTGGTCTATGTCGCTCGCAAATGCTTGTCCCACGACCCGTCCGAACGCCCGACAGCGCGCGAGCTGCGCCACTTGCTCCACCAAGCGCACTTAGCACTCCTTCTCGCCGCTGTCGACGACGACTAGGAAGACGATAGTTTATGTTATTTATCTAATGTGACGGCTACAAGTTAGTGAGCAGCGAGGAAGCTGGGACAGGACAGGACAAGATGTCGTTCCTTGCTACTGCAAGATTCAAAAAGCAGCAAGGAGTAGCTTGTTGTGATGTAGTACTTTTTTTCGAAGCCGACACGATCAGAACGCTACGGAGGGCCGACTGAAAGAACCAGGAGGGCCAGTTGCATCGCTGGTTGCAGCGACAGCATCCTACTGCGGCCAGTAGATATCTGCGCTTGACGAGAAGCGATCGCAGTCAAGATAACACACTGCAATCTGAGATGATCTTGTCAACGTGCAAAGTGCACCTAATTCCAAACTCAGGTGCACTTCAGTGACGTTGCTGCCGACCATCTGGTGGCACGACCGGATTGCAGCCGGGGAGGCTAAAAACACCCCACAACTATCGCCTGTCGCCCTACACTGTACTGCGCATGTCCATGGCCGCGATACGAGTAGCCGCCAACCACTGTGGACAGATCGGTTCTCACTCTTGGCGTGCATCGCAGCGGCGTCTCTTGCTTCGTAGAGCCTTGCCTGGGACAGCCAACTGCATCTATTCCCCAATGCGTTGGGTGTTTTTACGCATGGGTTGGAACCAGGTGCGTCTTTTACTTTGCACTGGGAGAAACGCACCTGGTAGACAGGCGGTCCATGCGGTTCCGTGACTTGGTTTTTCACGGATGACGGCCCGAGGCGCCAACCAATGCGAAGCAATGATGTCGTCTCGTGTCACTCGACGGCCCTGCCATCTGAGCAGCAGCTGACCAGATCCCACGCTGGCTCGGTGAAGGTAACTCACTCGCCCAGCAGGCGTAAGTACCGGTGCAGCGGCCAACCACAGCGAACGCGACCTCATGCGGCCTCGGACGACGGCGCTTGCCGTCCTGCTACTCGTCGCGGCCATCGCAGCCTACGATCTCGGCTCGGACCCGCGCCTCGCGTCCGGCCCCGGCCGCCGCGTCGCCGCCTCGACGTTCACGACCGACTGTGCCGGCGTGAGCTTCCGCACCGACGACGACTTTGTGCTGCCCGACCAGCCGTCCTGCGTCTACTACCCGAACGGCACTGTGTGGCGCGGCGCCAACAAGACCGACCTCTTCTACTTTGAGAAGGAAAAGGTCAACCGCACGGGCAACATCAAGAACGCCATCTACGGCGGCATGCAGATCGACGTGCTTGGGATGCTGCCCACCAAAACGCCCATCGTGTAGGCCTTTGCAGCACACGTCGGCGCGAGTTCTAATGTGGTGTAGCGTCCTCGACGGTGTCGGTCTTCGGTCGCTCAACACGTCGCTGGACGGGAGCCTCACCGCCCGCATCGCGAACGGCGTCCTGGCCTTGTACGTTCCCTAATACACAATAGAGGGACGCAACACTCATGCTGCGTAGGTATCTCTGGAACAACCAGTTGACCGAGATCAATACGACATTCAACGAAAACCTCCAGGAGCTCTACCTCGCCAACAACTCGATTTCATCGCTTTCGATTCGATCCCCCAGCCTCATCTCTCTGTACGACGACGCTGCGATGACTAAGAACTCATTTTTGTCTGTAGCGACATGCGCAACAATGTGTTGACGGATGCAGCCTTTGCCCTTGGCCGCGTCAACCTGCCACCGAGTCTGAGCTTGCTGTACGCGCGCGTCTCTAAGGTCTCTCACGCTTACACAAGTTGTCTAGGGCGCTCGATAACAACAGTCTCTCGGCTGTGCCGCCGCTGCCACCGCTCGTTTCGGCCGTGTATGTCGTTACCACTGCCGCTCCGCATGCTCACGCCCTCTCTGTTTGGTCTAGTGCACTGGGCTACAACAACATTTCGTCAATTGCCAGCGTTGCGTGGCCCTCGACCCTTCGCAGCCTGTACGCCCTCTGTCGTTGTTGTGATGCTGAAGGGGTGCATAGGGTGCTCAACGACAACAAGCTCACCGAGGTCGTCTCAAACTTCCCACCCATGCTTCGCATCCTGTACGTTGCCTTGTCCATTCTATCGTGCCTGACGCAGTCGGCTCGCTTAGGTCGTTTGCCGGCAACCGCCTCACGGCATTCTACGCCAACGAGTCGCAGTACGAGCTCCTCTCGCAAGTCAACGAGTCGGCGACGATACCCGGCTACGATATTCCCAAGCTCTTCACGACCCTCACCAACGCCTCGTGTGTCGGGCACAAGGAGACCCGGTTGCTCTTTGGTGTCTACCCGATCTGCATTTTACCCGATACGCCCAGTGTCTTGGCGGCCACCGCTGCCGAACGCGTGAGCTGGGGCTTGCTCACCGCCTTGCTACTGCTGGTGATTGCACTCACGGCCGCGGTCGCGTACACGGTCTTGCGACGGTGCCACCCGCCGGCGCGCAAGTGGTACGACGATGACGCGCACTTTTTCGCGATCGCCGACTCGACGCGCCTCGGCTACGACGTGCGGTTTGACCACGCGCTCCAAGAGTTTCGCATCCCGGTCGACGACCTCGAGCGCGATATCGTCTTGGCCAAAGGCGGCTTTGGCGTCGTCTACAAGGCTACGCTCCGACGGACTACGCCGGTCGCGATGAAGCGCATGCTGCCGGCCGTGCTCGACAGTCCGCAAGCGATCGATGAGTTCATGCACGAGATTCGGCTCTACGCGCAGCTGCAGCACCCCAAAGTCGTCCAGTTCATCGGGATGGCGTGGTCGACGCTCGCCAACATCTCGATGGTCACCGAGTTTATGCCGCACGGTGATGCGTGGGCGCTGGTCGAGGCCAACAAGGACGTGGTCACGTCGTGGTTTGAAGCTATGGTCGCTGGAGGTCAGGCGACGACCGCGATCAATTCTGTCTCAAGACGGCACACAGCGTCGTCGTCGACGGCCGACGCGTCGTATGTGGTCACGATGCCAAGCTCCAACGACTCGAGCGTGCACGCGCTCCCGGGCGCGTCCCGCTTTGCCATCATCAGTGACGTCGTCGATGCGATGGTGTATCTGCACAGCTTTCCGACGCCCGTGATCCACCGCGACATCAAAGCCCGCAACGTGCTCCTAGGACCGCACTACGAAGCCAAGTTGACCGACTTTGGCACGAGCCGCCTCCGCGTCGACGACCTCACGATGACGGCTGAGATTGGCACGTCGGCGTGGATCGCCCCCGAGGTTCTCAAGGGTGTCCGGTACACGGAGAAGGCCGACATTTACTCATTTGGGGTGCTCATGGCCGAGCTCGACACCGCTGAAGTCCCGTACTCGAACGTCTACTTGGAGCCTGGCTGTACGCTGGCACTCGCCCGCGCGCGGATCGCGATGCTGGTCGCGACCGGCGACTTGGTGCCAACGTTTACGGACGCGTGCCCGTCCGGTATCGTAGCGATCGCCCAGCGGTGCCTCGCCCACGACCCGGCGCTCCGGCCGACAGCAGCCGAGCTGGCGCTCTTACTGCGGCAGTACCACCCCGAGAAGCACGGTAGTTTTGATGCGGTGTTAGAGCCGTGCCACGAGTCGGTCGAGCCGAGGCTTGATGGGGTCTAGGGTTGTCGTTTCGCGTCGATGTCGTAATGTAATAGAAGTTGGTTTTCATGGTATACTCGTCTTGGTTTAGGACTAGGGGAGCTCCTGTACGACAATCTCGACCAGAGCGCTAGACAAGAGCATATAATGAATCCAACCCTTGTCCTAGAGTAGTCAAAAGTACTTGAGGCTCTACTAGAGTACTAGCGCGACCAGTAGAGCAACTAATATTTATACTGCCACCAGTGCTATCGGTCGTACACTGGTGAACAGTCATGCCAACGTGCGTAGCGTTGGAATTGACCATTCCTTGATCTTTGGTTGTCGTAGTTAGTATGCGTGCAGGGCGGACCAACCTCGTGGCGCCACTGCTTGTGGCGCCGCGTTACCAGCACCACGCGCGCTGCAAGATGCACTGCAAAATGCTTATGCGCTGCCATCTACCACACCTTTTGCTATTCATGAAGGAACCCATGGAGCCATAATCATCAACCGTGGGTGCTTGGAGGTACAGCCACCGAGCCAGCGCAGTAGTGCGATACCTGGAGCTGCTGCGGTGCGCGAACACCGTCCCGTGACCGCCAGCAAACGCTTTGGCGATCGATGATTGGTCGATTTTGAAATTGCCGCCCGTAGACGCGCCACCGCTTGTCACGGGACGTGCGCGCGCGACACCGCCTTTAGCAGGTGCCGATTCGTGGCTTGTCGCAGGCGCCACCGCGATACCATCGCGCCCACCTTTCATTTGCATGCAGTGGGCGCACTCTCTGCTGCTGCTCATCGCCGCCGCCACCGCCGCGGACGACATTCGCCTAGGTGCGCGGAATGCGACCAACAGCATCGCACATGTGACCGAGGCGACGTTCACGACGCAGTGTGACGGCGTCACCTTCCGACCCGACCCGAGCTTCGTCGAGCCCGACCAGCGCTCGTGTGTCGTGTATCCCAACGGCACTGTCTGGCGCGGCGCCAACAAGACAACGGCGTCCATTTTTCGGGAAAAAACCGGCAACATCAAAAACACCGTCACGGCCGGCTCCCTGCACATTGACTACGTGGCGTTCCTCCCCAACCAAGCGCCCGTCACGTACGATCATGGCACACCTATCGTTTCTTATCTGTGCGAATATGACTAGGGTCCTTGCGAACCTCGGCATCTCGCGTCTCAACACGTCGCTGCGCCGCGACAGCGAAGGCATCCGACTCGAGACCGCCGCGCTGTACGCAGATAATACTATGTAAGTAGGCGGTGGGACTCATGTACAATGGTCTACTAGATACGTGCCCGACAATCAGATTACCGATCTTAGCGTTACGTTTGCCAGCGCCATGCTGCTGCTGTACGTTGCGTGCTGACACGATCGACGACGCTACGACGTGTGCGTAGGGATGCCCGGAACAACCAAGTGACACGCGTCAACCTCAACGCGTCGGGCCTCACGACATTGTACGTTGGAGTGGTTGAGGTTACCTTTTTTGAAATAGAAGTAGGTGGCTCAGTGGCAACCCCCTTACCGAAACGGCGTTTGAGGCGAGCCCGTTGCCACCGTCGCTCGTTGAAATGTTCGTCGCCCACGCCTCCTTCCAGCGAAATACACTCATATGTACTATAGAACCATGAGCTACACCAAGCTCACGTCGGTGCCAACAGGAGTCTTGTTGCCATCGCTCCAGCGCTTGTATGTCGTCGCGTCCACAGCACCCCCTTTTCTAAACGACGATACTACGTAGGCGTGCCAGCAACAACTCGATCAGCACCATCAAGGACATTCATTGGCCACCAGGCATGACGGAGATCACGCTCGAAAACAACTCAATTTCGACCATCATTGCCAACTTTCCAGCCACCCTAACCACCCTGTACGGTCGGCGTTTCGATGTGGTGGCTCTGCCACGATCCACGTATCGGAAACACTCACGTCGTATCGCTTAGGGGCTTGTTTGGCAACCCGATCACGGCCATTTATGCCAACGCGTCACAGTTTGAGATTCTTCAAAAGCTCTCCAACTGGGCAGGATCAAGTGATATGCGGCCGGTCCTCGGTTCGACCCTCGGTGGCGCCGACTGCCACGGCCACATTGGTGTCCAGTACATCACTCCTCGCATTGGTATTTGCATTCTCGGCAACGACAAGGCGGCGTCGCTCTCGACCGTCGTCGGTGTCGGCATCGGCGTCTTTATCTTTGTGCTCCTCAGTCTTCTCGCGGTCATCCGGCTTCGTCGCGCCAAGAAGAAGTCGACCCAGTGGTGGTACCACGAGACCGACGACCCGATGCCAGTCGACGTTGTCGAAACGTCTCGGCTTCAGCACGACGCGCGCTTTGACGACCAGCTCCAGCAGGTGCGCATCCCGGTCACGGACCTCCAGCGCGACGTCGTGTTGGCCCGCGGTGGCTTTGGCGTCGTGTACCTTGGCACGCTCCGAAAGAAGGAGAAGGTGGCCATGAAGCGACTTCTGCCCAATTTCATGGCGAGCGCCCGCGCGATTGACGAATTTTTGCACGAAATCCGCCTCTACTCGTCGTTGAGTCATGCCCACATTGTCGGCTTCAAGGGCGTCACGTGGAGCAACGTCCGCAACATCACGATCGTCATGGAATACATGCCGTACAGCGACGTGTGGAGTCTCCTCCTCAAGAACAAGTGGGTCACGTCCTGGTTCACCAAGATGCAGCACGATGCGATGCGGGGCCGGACGACCATGGGCATGGTCAAGGGCCCCGAGTTTGGCGTCTCGAAGCTCGACGTGGCAAAAGCGATTGCGAGTGCACTCACGTACCTCCACGGCCTCGAGACGCCCGTGATCCACCGCGATCTCAAGACGCGCAATGTGCTCTTGGGCGCGCACTACGAAGCCAAGTTGACCGACTTTGGCACGAGCCGGTTCCGGGCCGACGACCTCACGATGACGGCCGAGATTGGCACGGCGGCGTGGATCGCCCCCGAAGTGTTGAAGGGCGTGCGGTACACGGAGAAGGCTGACATTTACTCGTTTGGCGTCATGATGTCGGAGCTCGATACGACCGAAATTCCGTACGCCAACCTCTTTTTGGAGCCGGGGTCGACGCTGACTTTGGCGCGAACGCGGATTGCGATGCTCGTCGTGAACGGCGAGCTCCGCCCACGTTTTCGCGCCCAGTGCCCAAACAAGATTGCGCGCGTCGCGCGGCGGTGTCTGGCGTTTGACCCGGCGCAGCGACCGACTGCGACCGAGCTTTTGGCGCTGCTTTCCGAGTGCATGCCGCCGCGCAACGACGAGAGCGGCAGCCTTTTCTCATCCGACTTTTTGCGCGGCCATTGAGTTGTATTTTAACTTAACATGCATGTTTGATTTGTGAATTGGACTATCGCGACTGCATTTGGAAGAAGTAACGCAATGGATTCAACGCCAGCGTATTTGATTGGATAGGACAACAACCGCACAAATTAATGTGGGAACGAACAAACGAGCCCAATGAAAAAGTTTCCCAGTCGACATTCGACGACCTAAACATCGGTCATCGGTGGGAGGGTGAATATGGGGGCCATTACACCCTGGAGACGGCACCGACCGTAGAACAGCGTACAAGTCCACAACGCAAGAGACAACTATATACACACAGCGCTTTTCCATGGCGATGTACTAGTACGAGGCTGGCGCGATGGACGTTGACGTCGCTTTGGAAGGCTACTACGGGTCTGGTAAAGCGGCTACTGGGCTCTGAAGCATGTCGCCGCTCTCAGCGATCACGACGCGGACATTAAAGCATGTGGCCAAGGCGCGCCGAAGATACTCGACGCTGGGTCGACGAAACGCGCTTTGATGTATATGCAACGTTGCGCTGCGTGGGGCCGTCGCTCCGCGGATAGCAGTCGCCAAGACGGCGGCGTCCCGTGCGCTGAACATCCAATCAAAGTCGATGGTGTGCACCCCGGCTAGAATGCACGTGCAAAGGTATTCGCCATTGAAACCTTGCTCGGCGCTGGTGCTGTTAGGCCACGAGAGGTGTTGGAGACGGCTCGAGCTCATGGCCCAATGCAGAAGCACCCGGCGACTCTCCATTGAAAAGGTGACGCGGTCCAGCGTGATAGCTTGGATGCGCACAGCCAACGGCGGAGGTATCGCCGGCATCTCGTTGATGCTGACATTGACGAGCTCAAGCTCGTTGAGAGCCGTCATGCGGGACAGCGCCGGTAAGAGATAGCTAACGTCGCGTCGTTCGCCGGCGCGTGCACGTAGCTTGAGCGTTGTGAGCTGATTCAAATCGATGAGTGGCAAGAGAGCCTCAACGTGGGTACCGGGCGTGAGATCAAGATGCGTGATGTAGCGCAAGACGAGACCGTTGGCGACAAGGCCAGCGATAATGGCCGTTGCGCCCTCGAGAACGAGGTGCGACAGCGTCGGTGACATGGCGAGCGCCCGCGCCATTCCCGCGTCGCTGGTCGCGTCCCAGCTGTTGAGCCGCAAGTACACGGCGTGGCCCGACGCCAACCATCGAGCGAGATTGCGTACGACCGAGTCATTCCAATCGCGGTTGCTCAAGATGGTGAGCTCGGACACGCAGTGCGTCTCTGTCGTCACGGCTTCCAGCATACACGGACTCCCAAAGACGACGACGCGCCGGAGGTTGGTGCACATTCGTAGCAGCCGAAAGTACTCGTCGTCGTACTCGGAGCGACTGTTGAAATCGGCGACGAGCCGTTCTACCTTGGTAGCCCACCGCGCCACAAACGCGCAGTAAGGCTGAGTGAAATCACTTATCGGCGGCGCCACCGTCCGCCAGCCGGAATGCTGTCCGGCGTTGGGCAGCCCGCAATGGAGCGACACTGAGTGGAAGGTGGGCATCGCAGCCGCTAGAAGCGCAGCGCTCTCGCGCCAGTCCGTGCTAATGCATGGTTGCGGCCAGTGGTGGCGTGATGTGTCGGATGTGAGCAGCTGGCGCAGCGCCGCCAGCGATGGCACGAGGAGTAACGGCGGCAGCGCCGAGAGAAAGGCGAAGACATCGCGTGCTTCGGTGGTGCATCGCACGATGGCAATGAGGACGACGTCCAGGTCCAGGACGGTCCACCGCGCCGACGCTATCCGTTTGGTCATGCTTGGAAGCCGGGAATTCGGTGCTGCCAGGTCACGACCACCCAGACCTACTAGTATGGGTGGGGGTGGGTCTTTTTCTTCAGGGGAGTGTAGGGTAGGTAGACCTTTTTTAGTTTGAATTACATTAGGACAATCAATCGCTGCGACATGGTGTGGGTCGGGGGCGGGTAGGCCACGATAAAAATGAAGCAGCCCCCTGGCCTTATCAAAAGTGTGTGACCTTGCCCATATATCCGGAAACAATCGTTATATCCGGATGATTGGGATGATAGCCAGAATTGCCAATGCTGGAGCTGGCTTTTGGTCGTCGCGGGATGGTGATGTAGCTATGCTCTGTAGCTCGAGCATGCAGAATGGCCGTCGTAGCCTTGCCAAAAGCAGCCCAGCAAAAAACTCGGCACAGAGGTGGGGCCACTCGATTATCGTTAATGTTGTTGCGTGAGCATGTCGACCATCACAGTGCTGTCGCTGTGGACTCTTGTTGGTGGTAGTAAAGCTGCCACCCTTCCGAGGGCTCGGCGGGCGGATCGACCATGTACTATCAAGATGTGTTAGAGAAACGAGGAGTTGACAGGAATACCGGCGGAATGCGAGTGCCCGTGCCGTCGTAGACCAAGAAGGCGTCCCATGCAAACCTATGGCAGCGTCACATGCGTCTCCACGCGCCGTGGGAGCAACGTACCGAACAGCGACGAGGCTTTCCATGGTCATTTTGGCCGCTCGCAAAGGGAACGCGATTGTCTTTGGCGCCACTGGACTCTGCTGCTCATCCACAGCAAGTGGTGGTGGTGGCGGGCGTTTGCGCGCCGCCATGAGCGCGTCTCGTGCCGCGAGGACCTCACTGGCCTCGGTTTGCGCGGCCACATCGTCGGCGGTTAGTTGGGCACTCCGCTGCTTCTTGAGCTCCAGAAGCAGTCGCAGCCGCTTGCTCAAGGCCTCATGCTTCATTTGCTGCTGGTTGGAGGGTTGTGGCACTGCATCCTCCGTCGTTGTTGCTGGATCCATGGGCGTCTACGCGCCGTTGATCAGACATTATATTGCGTCAAGGGACCATACTGTCGACTCGGTTGGCAACGCGAGCTCGTCTGCCTTTGGGGGTTGCAGCCCTTTTGCAATGATAGCTTCGGCCTTTCGTCGCTGGCGCAGCGCTTTTCGGTACCTCTGCAATACCGTCGTAACGAGCGAGTTGACACCAAACACGTACCGTCTTCTTGGCCACGCGTTGGACGAGCCGGCGGTGCGCTGCAAACGCGTCGCTGTCCTCAAAGAACGAAGCGTGAAAAGCGCGCAGCTTCTCCATGTGGCTGTCCAACGTCGCACAGCGTCGGTCCCATTGCAGCTTGGTGCGCGTCGTTGCGCGGTCGTCGTCGTGCGGCCATGTCGCGGCCAAGTGCGCGAGATCTTGCTGGAGGAGTTTGCATTCGCGCACGGTCTGAAGGCCCCACGCGAGCTTCTCGCGCACGTCCTGCACAGTCATGGGTGGTGCTGGCGGCGTCCGCGCCTGGCGCGCCTCAAACTGCTGGACCCAGACAGCGTCCGGATCCACAAATCGTGGCGCAGCGTACGCACGCAGCGGCGGTGGGCCATAGGCGCGCGGTGGTGGCGGGCGAAAGGCGCGCGGTGGCGGAGCATATGAGCCCGATCGCGCAGCAGAGAACCACGGTGGTGGCGGTGGCGGCCCGCCAGGCGGCGCTTGCATGATCGTGGCAGACGAAAAATCGAATGTGTCCCATAGTGTGGTCTAAACACACGCCATTTTAAACCTGGATGCCGAGGTGTGGATCGTGGGCGCGCATCGCGTGCAGGCGCTACCCATAAAATGTGTACACTGCAAGAATCGCTGGCTCGTGTCCAAGGTCAAGGAGTGCATTGGTGCTCGCGCACGGTCCACCCCGTCGACTGGTGCCGCTTCCATGGAGTGTTTTTAGCCTTGCGGTTGCGATTGGTAATCATTCGCCACCCGGTAGCCAATCACATGGGTGCAAACTGCGCGGTGGATCTTGGGCTCGGATCTTTCGGGCGCGCTTCGCTGCACGCATCAACGCGACACGAGATCGTGCGTCACGCCGTCGGACGCTGTACAAGCAACGAGTAGCTACGCGTCGCACTTGTACGTAGAACGCAGCTCGCGTTGTTGCCTTGCGTTCCTTTGTCGAGGTACATTGTATCGCGGTGGCGGGTGAATTATTCCTCACTGCGACACTGCGGTCCGACGACGTGCGTCCTTGCGCCGACACAACCATACCGGTAGACGAGTTCTTCTTCTTCGAGGCGGCGACGACGACAGCCTCGGAATCTACCCCTTCGCAGGTGGCGCCACCCCTCCTGTCGCCACCGCGACTGGCTCGTTGCTTTGCAGCCCGGTGTACCACGACAGCGACGACTGCTACGACGACGGCGTCGTCGTCGTCGTGTACACGGTCCTACACTGTATGAAAGATGCAGTCGCGACTCGACATCGTTTGGGCCCTAAAGTCCAGTGCTTCGACCGGTCAACATAAACATGGGCCACCACAAGGCGGGGCAACGCATCATCCGCGCCACCCGACTTGAACTTGCACCAATCGGCACCCAAAGTGCAATCTCAATAGCCAATCACGTGACGTCACGACCACGGGGACTACGAACTTATAGGCATGTCTTCCGTCCTGGCCAGACACGGCGTTGGTAATAGAAAGACGCCGAACGGCGTGGGGCGCGGCCGCAGCATGTACTGCACGTTGCCAGAAAGGCAACTCCACCAGCAAGCGGTCGGTAGAACGACAATTGATCCATGCGCCATCGACTGCGGCGTCTGCTCGTGGGCCTTGTAGCCGTACGCACAGTCATAGCAACCAGCGATCTACGGCTGGGCCGCGCGTCCAAGGTCGTGCCCGTGGCGACGACGACGTTCACGACCGACTGCGACGGCGTCGAGTGGAGCGACGGTGCGTTCGGCACCGACGCCAAGCCCGACCAAGTGTCGTGTGTGTGGTTTCCAAATGGCAGTGTGTACCGCGGCGGTGTCAAGACGTACAGCTCCCGCATGGGCACGACGGGCTTTATCAAAAACACTCTCGATGGCGAGTATGCCGTCGACTACGTGGCTTTTCTGCCCAACACGGCGGCCGTCATGTACATATATATATACGATGATGGTTTGAGAGCGCCTTCTTATGCACTTTGCCATGTAGTAAACTCGACAACCTCAACCTCAGCCGTGTCAACAGCAGCCTCGACGTTGACATCCACGGCATCCCGATCGTTGCCAAGACAATGTACAGTTGGGTGTCCTCGCAGGAGTCGACTCACGTCGCTACATGTACTAGCCAGCTTTTGGGCAACCAATTGACGACGCTCGACGTCCGACTGAGCGAGATGGTCATGACGCTGTAGGCCAACGCGATGGATTCCGGTAGCGCAGACTCATCGCCAGCTTGGGCTAGGAACGTTCCGTTCAATCGCCTCACAAGCGTCCGCATCAAGGCACCTGCCCTCGCCGAACTGTACGACGCCTCGCGTAGCGTTCATGGCGTGCTAAGAGTTTAAACGTAGAAACCTCCGCCACAATCAACTCGGCGACAACGCATTCGCCGCCGACGGTGTACCCAAGTCCCTCGCCCTCATGTACGCACAAAATCTCGTACATCTTATTCTTATTGCGCGCTAGTGATGTGGGCGACAATGCGCTGACGGTCGTGCCCCCATCGCTCCTCACGCGCGGTCTCGTCAACATGTAAGACGTGTGGCAACCACGGTCCGCTGATATGATTGCCTCTAGTTCGCTCAACAACAATGCCATCACGTCGATCGATGGTGTCCAGTGGCCTTCGACGCTACAGATGCTGTAGGCTCGCTGTTTAGCCACGAATACTGAGGTTCTTACGTAGGTCGCTCTGGAACAACTCGATCAAGGAGCTGCACGCCAACTTTCCCCCAAGTTTAACCCACCTGTCCGTGCGATCCTGTTGATGTATGTTTTTCATTGACCGTATGTGTAGGTGCTTGGCGGGCAACCCGATCACGGCCTTGTATGCCAACCAGTCGCAGTTTGACCTGCTGAGCAAACTCTTAAACCCGAACGTGACGTCGAGGACGACACTCAACGACCCGAGCTTCACGCATTTCGACATGTGCGGCAACGTGCTCTCCACCACGGCGACCGCATCCACGTGCAGCGCCGACTCGGACACCAAATTGCTCTACGGCGTCTTTCCCATCTGCCTTGTCCTCGACACGCCGTCCAGTGCCGGGCCGATGTCGACGTCGACGATTGTGATTTTGGTCTTGTCGCTTTCGCTTCTTGGCGTGCTCGGCTGCCTCGTGTACCGGCTGTTCCACAAGAAGCAGTGGTTTGAAGAGCTCGAAGAGCCGCCGCTCACGGGGCTCGCCGACAGCTGCCGACTCTACCACGACGTGCGCTTCGAAGAGGCGTTCCAGGCGTACCGGATCCCGGCCGCGGCCCTCGAGCGCCGGCGAATCCTTGCGCGCGGCGGCTTTGGCATTGTGTATTTGGCTGCGTACCATGCGCAGCCGACGAGCGCCCACCGCACGTACGTCGCGATGAAGCGTCTCTTGCCGTCGTTTGTCGACAACCCGCACGCGATCGATGAGTTTATGCAAGAGATCCGCGTCTATGCGCTGCTCCAGCACCCCAAGATCGTCGCGTTTGTCGGGATTACGTGGACGACCTTGTACAACATGAGCATCGTCACCGAGTACATGCCGTATGGGGATGTGTGGAGTCTTCTGGTCGCCAACGCCAAGGCGGTGTCGTGGGAAGCGCCGATGATCGCCGACTCGGTCTTGCCGGCAAAGGAGGTGGCGTCGATCGGGTCCCAGCACAGCTTTACGGGCGACGCGTGGCGGTCAGCCCCGACAATTTCGTCCGACACGTCGAGCTGCTTTCAGCGCGGCGCGGCCAAGCTCGGAATCGCCATGGACATGGTTGAGGCCATGATGTACCTGCACGGCTTGTCGACGCCCGTGATTCACCGCGACATCAAGGCCCGGAACATTCTCTTGGGCCCGCACTACGAAGCCAAGTTGACCGACTTTGGCACAAGCCGCGCGCGCGAAGACGAGATGACGATGACGGCCGAGATTGGGACGGCCGCGTGGATCGCCCCCGAGGTCCTCAAAGGCATCCGGTACAGCGAAAAGGCCGATATTTATTCGTTTGGCGTCCTTCTCTCGGAGCTCGACACGGCCGAGGTGCCGTACTCGCACGTGTATTTGGAGCCGGGCTCGACCATCACTCTGGCGCGCACGCGGATCGCAATGATGGTTGTCAACGGCGAGATTGCACCGCGCTTCACACTGCAGTGCCCGTCGGGCATCTACGAGATTGCGCGCCAGTGCCTCTCGTACAACCCGGACGACCGCCCGGACGCGACCGAACTCTTTGATTTGTTCCAGGAGTACCAACATTTTTTCGACTCGGCGCGCTAATACACCTTATCTATAAACCCAGACACTGCTATAAACCCCGAGGGCTATGTAATAGACACCTACCTACTACTACACTACCATTCGGACGGGTTGTGCCTCGATGACGGCGCTACGAAGAAGACATATACCCGCCGCCAACCGCAACTGCCTGTTCTATGGCTGGGAATCGCGCGCACGAGGTTGGCACGACGCGAGATGTATGGTTGTTTGCATGCCTCTGATGTTGGTACTGCCATCATACAGCGTCGGCGGGGACTTGCGACCGATTCGTCTTGGAGAATGGCATAGAATCGAAGAGGTCGGTTCGCTGTTGTTGTTGAAATGAGTTATTAACATGCAATTATATCGTGAAGATGGCGGAAGTCCCAATGCACTGGTGAGGTTTGGCCGGTACGTCAAGCTGAGGGCGCTTGGTCGGGGCGCACGATCGAGTGGGGAAAGAGATAGCGAGCGCACCAAGGGCCGGCGCGTAGGACATGGAGCGACTCGGCAAGCGAAGGCACCACGGCGCGGCGAACCAAGTGCCAGATATGCAATCGCGTGATAGTAGCGGCTTTGATCGCGAGCGCATCAGCCGAAAGGGAAAGAGAGAAAGCTCGGACCTGACGTAAAACTTAGAGCTCGGTTCACTGTGCAAGCGTCAGGTACTAGTAGCGTCATGCTGAATTGTCAAGTTGATTGATGCGCACGGTACTGTACTGTGTTGCTGGGTGCACATCCCACGCCATTCCAAAGCGATATACACCAACGGCATGCCTCGTGGCAACCTATGCCAGCTCAGCGACCAAGTATATGTCCGTCCATGCATGCCCCGCCAAGAAGCCTTGTTGGAGAATAAGAAGAATGCGTCTTATCCGATTAAATAATTGCAACAAAGGATGGTGGGCGCTTGTCATGCGACGACCACGTTGGTGGACTTGGCGTACGTCTCGATGGCGTCCTTCTCGCACTCGGTCAAGAGCTCGTAGCCGTCGACGCTGGCGAGGAGGTGCGGCGATGCGCAGCACGTCAAGTGGTGCCAATCGAGCGCAATGTACCCCTTCACGTGCTGAAAGATGACGCCGACGCGGATCTCGCCTTGCTCAATGCGCGCGTCGCACGACCGGCACTGGGACGTACTCGTGGTCGCGCGGCCCAGGATCGGCGTGGCATGGCGCGTCCACGGGTTGAGAGCGGCCATACAACAGCGCGTTGTTTTCGCGAGTGCCACCAAGATCGCGCACTGTGCGTTTGTATGGTGTCGACGCTGCGACAAAAGGGCCAAGTCGGCCAGGTGGCACCACCGTGGCCCGTCAAGCATACAAAAATCAAGTCATTTCGAATCCGAATTTTTCGGCCATGTTCAATATCTTGTTTTTTGTATGCCCTGCGATCCTCGGGAGTCCTACTCTGTAGAGGAGACGAGTGCTCGCCGAAAAGCTCCGGAGCTCGCGGCCATTGATTTCATGCGAGAGTGTCGCGCCATCTTATTTGGTCGTTGGCCGGACGACGCGAGCAGCAACGAGTGACCGAGTGCACTGGAAAAGCTACGCAGTACTGTCGGCGCTGCTTCCTGAACTGGGTGATGCTGAAAGAACTGGCGACGACGGCGATGTTGGTCACGCGGCAACACGTGTCGGCGCCGAACGTCGCGAGCGTGTCATGAATTCTCGAAACGCAGAAGACTCTGGCGCGCCGCAGTAAATCGACTGTGCTCACCACAACAATCGGCTTCTTCGCCGCGTGTCAAAAGCACGCCTGTCAACCTCGCTCCTACAGGTCGATCGATGGACCAGCGATGACTACATCCCAGCACGAGGTGGCGTCGATGCGACGACGAGAATTTGAAAACCTGGATACTACTCGTTGTTCCACATTAGATACTAGTACCTGGATACCTGCACTTGCTCCTTCGGCCGGCACTGTCCGTGGTCGTCCTTGTCGACGTTTGCTCACTGCATCATCACGTAGCTGCGACGGCAACACCCATTTGCACGGCTTTCATCTCCAGCAGTGTGTGCAATGCCCACGTGTAGCTTCGTCACCACCGCAATCTCCAGTGCGAACGCACCTCTCTCATACATTGCAGTATCTCTCTCTAGTATTACCGATCTGTACGTCTCCCCGCATCGAGTTCCTCGTTCCCATGTCCATGACGCATGCTACACACCGAAGATGACATCCAGTCTGGGATGGCCGAAGAAGGGCCTACGTTTTCATTTGCTTCTACATACAATAACCAAGTTATTTACGTTTTTAGGGGACCCCTCCAAACGCCATCATGGTCGAGGCCGAGCTTCGCCACCACCAGCTTGTGTCGGACGGCCTTTTACATCCATACAAACATCAAGAGACATTGAAACTACGGCCAGGACATACTGATTCCGAGTCGTTGGAACGAAGCAAAAATTCGAACTTCGACAGCTGGGTTCCACGCAGGTAGAGGGCCAATACAAAGCGCAAGTGCAGCAAGGTGGCGCCAATGCTTTGAGGATGGGACACCACGCATGGCGTCCGGCTATCGGCGAGTTACTGCGCGCGATAGCAGCGTCGTCGAATGCAAATCATTTCGAAATTGCCATGCAGACGCCAGAGTCGCAGGTCGAGTTGGGCATGCCGCCAGCAGCCGCGCCGACCTTTCTCCAGCGTGCCAAGGAGTGGGCCATTGGCCACAAGAAGATTGTCGGGGCCCTTGGCGCCGTGGCCATGATTGGCACCGTCCTCGCGGTCGTGACCGCCAGCCCAAGCGTTGACAGTGCCACCGGCGTCTCGACCGGTGCGAACGGCGCCGGCATTTGCTACGACTCGACGGAAAACCCTGCGGACCTCGAGCGCCACTTTGGCTTGATCAAGCAAAAGTACTCGTCCGTGCGCACGTACCAAGTGACGTACGGGGGCAAGAACATGATTGACGTCGCCGCCGACGCCGGTCTCTCCATCGCGGTCGGTGTCTGGATCGAAGGCGGCAACTGGGACAAGGAGCTCCAGGCTGCGATTGACGGCACGAAGCGCCATCCCGGTAGCGTCAAGGCTATCTACATTGGCAACGAAGAGCTCCACAAGGGCTGGGGTGCCGGCGCTGTCGTCAACGCCATCAACAAGGGCAAGTCTGCGATCCGAGCCGCTGGTATCAACGTGCCTGTCGGTACCGTCCAGATCGACGGCGACTTCTTGCGCAACCCGCAGGTCGCCGACGCCTGCGACTCGATCGGTGTCAACATCTACCCGTTCTTCAGCGGCCCCGAGTCGATTACCAACCCGATGGGCGATCTCAACGCGCGCTGGAGCGCAATCACCAACAAGTGGGGCGGGAAAGCACGCATCACCGAGACGGGCTGGCCCTCGGCCGGCGGCTCGTACAACGGCCACCACTCGACGTACGACAACGCCAAGAGCTACTTCGACAAGTTCAACGACTGGGCCGCCTCCAACGGCGGCGACACGACCTACTACTTTATGTTCAAGGACGTGCCCAACAAGGGCGGCTACGAGACCAACTTCGGTGTCATGGACGGCAATGGCAACTGGAAGTACGGTGGCGCACCGGCGCCGCAGCCCCAGCCGTCCCCCTCACCGCAACCGCAGCCGTCTCCTTCGCCCTCGCCGCAACCGCAGCCGACTCCTTCGCCCTCGCCGCAACCGCAGCCGACTCCTTCGCCCTCGCCGCAACCGCAGCCGACTCCTTCGCCCTCGCCGCAACCGCAGCCGTCTCCTTCGCCGTCTCCCCAGCCGACCCCATCGCCTTCCCCGTCGCCGCAGCCGACTCCGTCGCCATCGACTGAGAAGCCCACCGAGAAGCCCACGGACGCACCGACGCCCAGCCCGACGCCTAGCCCGACCCCTAGCCCAACGCCAGAGCCGACGACGGCGACGCCGGAGCCTACCACTGTGACGCCTGAGCCGACGACAATCGAAGTCGCCTTCAACAATGGCTCGTCGTCCAGCAACAGCACGATTCCATCCAACAACTCGACGGGGTCGTCCAACTCGTCCTCCAAGTCCGAGGAAGATGCGCTTCTTGGTACGCCGGTGACGCTTGTGCCGTCGTCGGGGAGTACGCCGGGTGGTGCCACGGGCGCAACGCCGGGTCCGGGTGCGACCAAAACCAGTGGCCAGGAGACGCTCAACCAGAACAACGCCAACACGGGTGCCGCCGACGATTCGAACGGCAGCAAATCGGCGGTGTCCTACGTCCTCGGTGGCATGGCACTCGTCGGTGTTGCCGCCGTCACGGTCCTCGTCGTCAACAACCGCCGCAAGAACCGCCTCCTCGAAGAAGAGAAGGATGTCTTTATGTCGAACCGCGACGACAGCATGATGGCCGTGCTCCAGACGCGCAAGAGCGCCATCGCGGTGTTGTAAACTCGTATGTACTACGCGACTAACATCACTTTTTGCCTTAATTTACAATCTTGATTCATTCCTTGTCCAATATCGACTCCAGAATATATTCGTCATCGAAAAGCCATATCGATGCAGCGACGTGGTACCCCTACCCCTCCTCGGGCTAGGGTTAGCTGCCGCGGCTGCACAATCGATGCCATTTATTGGCTTATTGACCCAATAGCTTGACGGCATTGTTATGACAATAGGGTGTCATCGTGTATGTGGGCATA